AGACGGTAGCGGGGCGAGTGCCCGATCGCCTTGGCTCACAGCCATTGCACACAGGCAGCTACGCCCTGCATTAGCCAGGTGTCCGTCCCTGCTGTGCTATAGCGCCCGGTACTTATGTGCATCCGGAGATGGGCGAAGGAAGGAGAGCCCGGTCTTCCAAACAAAGGCAAACTGATGGGGTTGGGCAGAGATGGGAATGGGGGGCGGGAGCTGTTTACTACAGACCCTTTTGCAAGGATGCGCCCAGAGCCACGTGCTTTGTAGAGAGCGAGTTCTTCAAATTCACACCCTGTAAAAACAACAAGGGATCTGGTGGCACCTTAAAGACTAACTATCTGTTATTCCTTGTTATTCTTGTAGATACAGACTAACACGGCTGCCCCCCTGATACTTGACACCCTGTAAACTAATCAGGGTCATTTTCTGGGCTTGGTGACCGCTAATGATGCCATTCGCTGGGGGGCATCACACAAGGCAGTTCACGCTGCTTTCTCGCGCAGCGGAACAACTGCTGTTGGTGGAGGCAGCAAATAGAACTATGCATCAATGTGATGGTATCTGTGACTTCTAAACACAGAGCAATTGAATTGTATTCTCTATTACACAGTGTCTGCCTGCTTTAAACAGAGTATAGGAGAATTGATCCTTTTACTGTACTTGAATCTATATTCCCCAGAGGCCAAGCTGATCTGTCAATATTTATTCAACCTTTTCCCTTGACATTTGTACTTGAATATGCATCAGTATGACAATCACTCCTTTTCTCTCTACAGTTGCATGGTCAGTGCTATGATAATAGCTTAGATCCTGAAATAAGGGTCATAGCTATGCTGGAGCTGGGATCCCCTCTGGAGATGATTCAGCTTCTGCAGACTCCCTGGGAGGAGAGATTTAAAGTAAGAAAACAAAACAAAGGCAGTTTTATCAGTAGCTTTTAGGTCTCAAACAGAGTAAATGCAAAGAGCCCATGATGTGTGCTGGGGCTCACAGGATTGTCATGCTGACTTTCTGAATGCTCCTGGAAATCTTTAAATAATCTTGTTTTCACCCCTTTTAAATTACAGTAAATAATATCTCCAGTCAGAGAGCAGAAGCTCCACTATTCCTAGCTATTCCTTTATTCCCCCCTCCGAAGCAATGTTACAACAGACCTAAAATTACAAAAAGTCTAAAGAATCCTGCCTAGGGATAGTATTGTGTTTAATACTCTGTGTTAGACTGGATGTCTGGTTCCTTCTGTTCTGCACGCCTTTGCAGAGAGGTCTATTGATTTGTATAGGAAGGCCCATTATTGTAGTGGTATTGTGTTCCAGTGGAGGGGGCAAGGGACAGGGACTGGTTCTATTCCAGGCTCCTCCACTGACTGACCTCCTGCATGACTTTGGGCAAGTTACTTCACCTCTCTGCGCTTCTGTCTTTTCTCTTATCCCTTTTCTGTTTCTTATCCTTTTTCTAGATAAGGGTGGGCAAACTTTTTGGTCTGAGGGCCACATCTGGGTATGGAAATTGTATGGTGGGCCATGAATGCTCATGAAATTGGGGGTTGAGGGTATGGGAGGGGGTGAGGGCTCCGGCTGGGGGTGCGGGCTTTGGGGTGGGGCCAGAAATGAGGAGTTCAGGGTGCAGGAGGGGGCTGTGGGCTGGGGCAGAGAGTTGGGGTGCAGTTTGGGGGGTGAGGGCTCCGGCTGGGGGTGCAGGCTCTGGGGTGTAGGAGGGTGGGACTGAGGGGTTCGGAAGGGGGATCAGGGCTGGGGCAGGGGGTCAGGGGCGCTGGAGGGAGTCAGGAGTGCTGACCAATGGGAGCTGTGGGGGCTGCGCTTGGAGAGGGGGCAGCGTGCAGAGCCCCCTGGCTGCCCCTACGCATAGAAGCTGGAGTGGGGACATGCTGCTGATTCCACAAGCAGCACGGAGCCACGGCGTATGTGGAGTGGGGCAAGCTCCAGACCCTGCTCCCCGGCGGGAGCTCGAGGGCCGGATTTAAATGTCTGAAGGGCCGGATGCGGCCCCCAGGCCATAGTTTGCCCACCCCTGTTCTAGATTATAAACTCTTCAGGACAGGGACCGTCTCTTACAATGTGTTGGTCCAGTAGGGCTCTGATCTTGTTTGGGGCCTGTTGGTGCTACTATCAAACAAATATATAATAATAAATTGTTGTCTCAGTCTGGTAGGTGAGAGGCCAAGTGAGGCTCTTTAGCTCTCCATTAGCATAAATTACGTATGACATGGAAGTTATTTTTATTGTTTGTATTACAGTAGTGCCCTCAGAGGGCTCGGTCAGGGTCTCACTGTAATGGCTGCTGCTTATTTGCTTTATTGGAGGGAGGATGGTGTTGAAGTTAAAGGAAGAACTACACTGCAATCAGTGAGAAATTCTTTGGTTAAAAAACCCACAAACCATAAAACCCCCAGAAGCATGTGACCCACAAGGCTGAACATGGCCACCACAGTCATAGCCAACGACAGACCAAGACATCCAAAACTCATCATAGGGGCTTCATGGCAGGCTCCAGCAGAAGGAAAGGTCTCCCACACCCCTGCCCCAGCTCGGATCCCCCTCCAGCACCCCAAACCTCTCATTCCCAGCCCCATCCCAGAGCCCACACCCCCAGCCGGAGCCCTCACCCCTTCCCACACCCCTGCCCCAGCCTGGATCCTCCTCCTGCACCCATCACCCCTCATTCCCGGCCCCATCTCAGAGCCTGCACCCCCAGCCAATGCCCTCACCCACTCCCGCACCCCAACCCCCTGCCCCAGCTCGGTGAAAATGAGCGAGCGAGCGAATGAGTGAGGGTGGGGGAGAGTGAGCAACAGAGGGAGGGGGGATGGAGTGAGCAGGGGACAGAGCCTCGGGGAAGGGTCGGGGCAAGGGTGTTCGGTTTTGTGCAATTAAAAAGTTGGCAACCCTACCTGCGCCCTGCCCTAACCTGAATGACTACACCGTAATTAAACAGTCTCTTAGCCCAAGTCAGCTGGCATGGGCCGGCCACGGATTTTTAATTGCAGTGTAGACATACCCTTAATGTACAAAATATTTAGTACAACAGTTTTACATAGGGAGTACGTTCTAGAACAGATAATTGGACCATCTACACCTATATCCTGACTCTTGCAGTGGTCTATGCAGGGACTGATGGTCCCTGCCTGCTTTTATCCCATGATGCACCACACTAGGCACTGATCCTGTAAGCTGTTCTGAGTGAACAAACCCCTGAACTCATGCAGACTGAAGTACATGGGATTCCATGTGGGTGCAGGAGTCCAAGCGCATGAAACAGTTGCAGGATCGGGGCCAATTGTGTAATGCTGTACCATGGTGGAAAACACCTTCCTGATTCCAGCCGGCAATCTACATATGGCCTGAAGCATGAAAGGTGATATTGTATCCCTTGTAGCTTTTTACCTTAGTGGTGTGACTGCAAAGGTTTATTTTTCTGCTTAAGCGTATTTAACAAACATTGCTAAACTGCTTATGACAGTAAAATCCTGTGGCAATATTGACAATACAGCTTGTAACATATACATAATTTCCTTTTAAATACTGTACATTTCTTGTCTTTAATTTCACTGAATGCCTTTCCCCTTCTTCTTCCAGCTGAATAGCTTTTTTTGGACTATGTTTCCCATGTGTATTCATCTCTTCTTTCTCAGATTTGCCTGAGTCTAGTGAAACTGCTGTTTTACCTGGCACATTCCCCTCTGGGTTCAATAGTCCTCTTGGATTTCCAGCCAAGGCAGTTTGTTATGGTGGATGGAAACCTAAAAGTGACAGATATGGACGATGCCAGCACCGAGGAACTGTCATGCAAGGAAGATAATGACTGCACACTAGACTTCCCTGGAAAAAGCTTCATTCTCAAATGTACTGCAGCTGGGAAATGTGACGGACTAAATGAAAAGAAGAATCTTTTTAATGCATACCGGTATGTGCAATTATATAGAAAAATGTGGCAGATTTGATCATAAATTGCACAATACCATGTAGTGAGCAGTATCCTGTGCTTATTCTATGTAGCACAGAGAGAGAGAGAGAGAGAGAGAGAGATTTATTAAGAATTTCTTTGTAGCAAATATTATTTTTCTTGTTAGCTAAGAATTGAAAACAGCGTAGTCATCGGTTAGAAAGAGTGCAGACACCCTTCCTGCACTGCTTCCCTCTATGATCACCAATAAACCTGCCCAAAAAGCTTTCCCCCGTGAATTTATTGCTTCCCAGAGGTGCCACAATGACAGCCTTGGAGATGGCAATCCTCTAACTATCCACAGAAGAGGCGGTGCAAGCTTCCCCCACCAATGTGCCTCAGCTTGGTGGTACTGCAGGTGGAGTTGCCTCTGCATGAGGACAGGATAGTTTAGTCTCTGTGTCCCTTTAACTCATGGCCTCTCATTTGAGATGGGCAACAAAGGAGCGAAGAAGAAATAGAGATGGACATCTATTGGGAATTGAACTGAGACTGTCAAGTCACTTCACGTAGGCCACCAATCAGTCATCAAAAGACAGCAACTTCCTCTCTCCATTGATCTGGGCTAGATTTGAACTGCTGACCTGGAGGTGAAAGTCTTGATAGCCCATTATTAATGTTCAGGGGCTTAAAAGGGAGACACTGTTATTGAAGGATCCTAATTTCACCCTAAAAGAAAATTATAGTCTTGCAATAATTACCCATTCCTTTTAGAGCAGCAGCTTTGTGGAAGGACTGGATGGTTCAAGGAATTAATAATGAGCTACCCTGTCTTTCAGTTAATAATGGGCTACCAAGCCTTGTTAGCACAAGGCCTTCTGGTTGTCCTAGGTGAGAGAGAATACATGTCCTTTGTAGATTGGAAAGTCACTGCTTAAAGGTGAGCAAGGCAATTTCAGGGGAATTTAGTGAAAGCTTCATTGCTTGAATCCTTTTAATTAGACTGAATAAAGCACTTGGCAGCACTATATGCCACAGGGACAAGCTTTAAGAGGGGTTGGCAACATGATCTATGAGAAGCCAGTTAAGATGCTCCAGCCCCACAGTATTGGGCATTGTGTAAGAACCTGAATAGAAAAGAATAGTCCTCCTGAGATGGAAAGTGAAAATTTAGAGAGGACTAATTGTTAACATATTGAGACCTCTCACTTCTAACAAGCCTGTGGGATTTTTTTGCAGGTATTTTTTCATGTATCTTTTGCCACACACTGCACCTTCTGCTTTGCGGCCCCTTCTGGGTGATATTCTGAACGCAACAGGTACAAGCTAATATTTAGACCCCATTGTCTTTTATGAGAAGACATTTTAAATGATATTTCATCGAGTTAGTCACTTCTGTCATATTTTTCTTTTTAATGTAGGTGATTTACGATATGGAATAAATGAAACCCTAGGAGCTTTTGAAAAAGTTTTACATTTGTACAAGTCTGGGCTATATCTACAGAAAAGGCTTCCTCTTTTAAAAGGTACAGGACTTCAGAGTCTTTAGATAATAGTTCAATTACTGCAGGTGTGATCGAACTGTAAAAATCTTGTGGTTCCCAAATATGGCCAAATTCTGATCTCAGTTACGCTCATGCAGCCCCAATGGACACAGTGGATGTATGTGTGGGCAGAATTTGGCACACTTAGGCCTAGTCTACACTAGAAAAAGTTTGCCATTAAAATTGTACAGGTATAGCTATACAGTCAAGCCCTCCTAGTGTAGATGCTGTCACACCAGCAAAAAAAGTGAAATAAGCCATACCAGCAAAAGCATTTTTATGCTGGTATAACTGCATCTGCACTGGGGTTTTTGAAAATAGAAGTATCACCAAAACTGTAAAGTAATCACCCAAAATCACTCCCTAGTTGATATTGCTGTACCAGCAAACGTTTCTAGTGTGGAGCTGGCCATAGAATCCCTGTTTCTTTCTCTTTGGAGCAATCTTTGCTGTTTTTCATGAGAGTTGTATGGGATTGCTTGTACTACATTGTACGTACCTTGCAGAACAATCTGACTTACATGTGTGTGTGCATGTGTGCATGCTGCTTTAAGTACTCTACTCACAATCCTTTCAGCATGTGCATCAGTCTGTGTTTCAAGTGAATATATGTCCTGTTAATATCTTAAGTGGCTCTCCAGCTTTTTACGTCTGTGGACCAGTTGGTAAGGAAGATCCTCAGATGGCCTCCACTCTCTTTACCCACAGAGCCCTGTGATACTTTATTTTTCTCCTGTTTCATTGTGCAACCTATCTGCTGCTTTGAGTCATTGGTGGACCATGGATCATAGTTTGGGGCTTTGTTCCTCTGTACTAAAGAAGGGGACCTTTACATTGTGGGGAAAAGTGGCTAATCATTCTTCCTTATGAAAAGGTTCATTCCTTGCTGCTTTGAGCACAAAAGGTGTTGTGCCCAAGTTTTCCTAAGGGTTCCCGTGCAGGCTTGGGATGGGCATGAATTGCAATATCCGTGGAGTGCCAGATTTACATCTTCTCTGGAAATTGCATGCTTGCAAGCCGAGCATGTGCAAAAATGTAGGTGCACTCTTGCACAGAAGGGCCTGCATTTCTAACATTCACAAATGTATTTGCTAACAATGTCTCTCCCTCAGTTTATCCATCAGTGTTCATTAGCAGTGTATTAAAATTAGCACCTCTGCCCTATTTTACACCTCCACAAAGGGGCAGAAATCTTAACAGTGAGTGAGCGGTAGCCTTAAACATTGCCTGCTCTGTCATATCTGTCTGGAAGGCATTAGACAAATCTAGTGGTTAAAGCGGGGGGGGGGGTTTAAGTCAAAATGTACGTGTTCTGTGCTTGGTTCCTCCACTGACTCAGTTTAAGAAGGCTACTTTAACTTCCCTCTGTCTTATTTGAATGAAGGATGTCACGCAAGGGCAAAGTATGAACTTTATGATGTAACCATAACATACTGCAGGGTATCTTCCTCTTGGATTATATTAAAAGTTTCCTAAAAGCTGTGTCCCTATGTACTAGTTTTTATTCTGTTTCTCAGAATACATCACCCTAAAGGGATTCCGAACCATGGAAATGCAGGACTATAAATGCTGGCCCTCCTACAGCCATCTGGGATGTTTGCTCTCCATTTATAATGCAGAGGAAGCTGCAGCAATCTGTAACTCTCAACCACAGTGCCAAAGTTTTATTGTCACTCAACAGAGAACATGGACAGGTGAGATGATTTTATTTTATTGAAAACCCAGTAAAGATCTTTCAGTACAGAGGCCAGAGCTAGTTGTAAGTCGCTGGGACTTGTGACAGAAAGCGTACAGGAAGGAAGTAAAAAAGGTTCCCTTTAGATCCTGTGTTTAAAAAAGCATGACATTCCACTTAGGAACTGGTATCATGTCCCATTGCATAAAGCTGCTGTTCTGTTTGATTTAATAGAAGCTGGGTTCTGAGGTGGTTAGATTTCACAAGCTGTATAGGGTCTGGCCTGATCAGTACTGAGATGAGAGGCTGCCCTGCCATGAAAAATCCAGAGTGCCTAGGAAGTGGTGTGAGTGATTCAGGAGGTGGCTCTGTTCTCCAAGTCATTACTTTGCCAGTGCCCCTGCATGGTGCTAGGTGGCACGGTTATCTTGGAAGTACCATCTCAAAGTATTGTCTAGGAGAGGCAGTGTGGCCTAGTGACTAGAGCACTGGCCTGGGACTCAGAAGATTTGGGGTCTATTCCCAGTTCTGCTGCTAACCTGCTGAGCCAGTCACTTCCCTGTCTGTGCCTCAGTTTCCCCATCTGTATAATGGCGATAATGATACTGCCCTTCTTTGAGATTCACGGAGGAAAGGCACTATATAGGAGCTTAATATAAGATAATGATATTGTCTTACTGTTAAGACAGGAAGCTATCTTTTGTGGTCATTAAATATACCATTTATCTTGCAAGAATAATGGAGATTTTAGTGTCTGTGTCCATGTTTGGTTAATTACATTCTCCTTCTGTGAATTCCATCAGCATCTTCAACAGGATGTGATAATTTTCTTCACTTCCTCTACTACAGTTTTGCATGGTATTGGTTTAAATAGTTGCTAAGATCCACCCCAGAGATAGCTGCATTTAGTATAGTGGGTGAGGCAATTGTTGTGGTATGTACTGTTTGTAAAAAGCCTTTGGGTCCTTTGACGTGAAAGAAGATATATAAAAGTAGGCGTTTACTATCGTTATATTAAAAAAAACCATAGTTTACAATAGTTTTGCTCCTTTTTATATCAAATTAAAGCCCCAGACCAATGAGTTTCACAAATGTCCCTATAATTAGCTCTGATTACAGCCTTTCATTGAAGCCAGCTTGCATGGTTTTAGAATTACACTGTAAATCCCCTCATTTAACTGACACTTCAGCAGCAGTCCAAGCTATTACTTACAATGTGAACACTGAATAAGGTAAATGAACATTAACCAGGCATCGGTACGATGATGCTTATGATCGTGTAGCTTGTCTGCTGACATGATACATGGCTGCCCTTTGGCATTCTTTGCTTTAAAAAAATATTCAAATCGTACTCTATAAGTTTGTATGAAAATTGTACACGGATAACTTTATCGTATAAGAGAGTATTCATCTGCTGACAAAACAATACATCTGGCCTCTGTGCACAGAGCCAGTTTCACAAGGGCAATGGTTTGTGCATGCGTATTGTATTCTGCATCTCTTCTAGGTTTTATAACGTAACAGATGTTAGCACATGAAGCATGTGACTATTAGAAGGAGCTCAGCTACTACCATGATGAGCACGATATAAAAACCTATATTGAATGGAATAAAACATCCTGCCTGTGTCGCTTGATTCTGTTTCTGCAACAGGCTACCCTGTATCAAGGCCATTCTGTAGTCTGTTTTTATTCTCCTAAGCCTTTTCTTCCTCACATTTTGTAATAAGTCTTTGTTTGAGTGGCCGAAAAGGACAATTCTGTTACTTGTGGTCTGTTTTTCTGACATGCCGAGGGCCTGGATCTTGCATTCACATTAACTGGAGCTGCGGGTGTTGGTAACTTGTTAATGTAACTCTGTAATACAGATTGAGACATAAAGTCTATGGTGCCTGATCCTGCATTGTGCACTCCTACGGAAGTTGGTGAGGATCATGGATGCACAGGGAATGTAGGAAGAATGCCTCATATGCACATAGTTGGTGTAAAAGGAACCTGCTTAGAGAGTGCTTTATATATAAATCTGTCTTGAATCTAAAGAACCAAGATGACCCGTCTCCTCTGTTTAAACTTACATTTTTATTTTCTTACCAGGACGCCCACTTGCCTCATTTCGAAGTAGCCTGACTGACTTAATACCAGACGTCAATGCTGTACTCTATATTAAACGATCTGCTCCCTGAAGGGAAAGACTTTAAAAACAGTGAGAGCTCACATAAAGCGATTTGGGGAGGAGTCATTGGGAAGAACATCATCTACCAAAAGGAATGATACTTTTTATTTTGCTTTAGATGCGATCTCCATACTAGCTTGGACTGTGTAAAATGGTGGTGTCTGCTTGATCAAAGCAGAGATTATCCATAGCCAAATGCTCTCCTCTACACAATCCCACCTGGTTATTAACCTGTTCCCAGACTCTGCTGTTCCTTGTAAACATTTGCAGTTTTAGTTCAAATGTTGCAATTTGCAGAACCTCGGCTTGCCGCTTTCGGAACTTGTCAGCGAAGGAATAGAAATGGCCATGAGGGACTTGGCTGTAGTAGTCCTAGTTAGTTCATCTGTCTTTGAAAATCTATGACTAATGCACCGCTGACGAACATACAACTCCCCAATGATGGGGCTGCCAAAAGGGATTTAGTAACATCATAAATGTAAAGAATCCATACATTAGCGATGAGGCCCAAGGTGCACTGTTTGGATCCAGAGCCATGATTTTGGATCTGCCCATGGGGGTGGGAGGCAGGAGGTCGAGGTATGCAGTTCAGAATGCGGGGTTTGGGTTCAGTCCATTGTGCAGGGTAAGGGGGTAGGCGTGTGGTTCAGAATGCAGGGTTTGGGTTCAGCCTATTGCGGGGAAGGAGGTATGCAGTTCAAATCCAGATGCAAAGTTTGGGATGTTTGGATGCAGGGTTTGGGTTTGATGTGTGCGTTTTAAAACACCCGTTCCCTTGTATCAACCTTGAAGGTTGTTCAGTGTTACTTTCAGTGAAAGAAATTCTGCTGAGCAAAATGTTCAAAATATTTGTCTGAAGTTCTATTCTGTATGGTAAAGAACTGCTACTTTCCTCTTGACAATGAGGTGAAGGGGGAGGGTTGTTCTGTTGCTTTGATGAGATAATATATTGCATGGGCTCTCTGGGCTGAGTTCCTCTGAAAAGGCTTCAGGATTTCTATGCATTTTAAACTGCAATAAATGGAGACATACCCAACATTGTGCCTGGACAGGAATGACTGGGAGTACAGCACTGCCTGTTCTTTTTTCCGGACCATTTTGTGGTCCAGTTCAGGAAAGCCAAATCACAATGTGCCTTAACCCCCATCTGCAGAGGAACTTCCCTCAACTGAGAGCCCCAAGCACTGTGCATAGAGCGGGACCACGCAGTCTGTGTGCGCTATGGAGTAGGCCTTCACGGGGGTTCTCTGCACTGCTGTGAAGAAGGTGAATATGTTTTGGACATGACCAAGGATTTCATGCCATCTAATGGTGAGTGTGCAGGGAGCAGTAAGACCATATTGGCTACTCAATCCCCATACTCTCATTACCCTGTAGTGGCCAGCTGTAGGCCACAAGGGGCCACATCCAGGACTGGCTCACGTCAGCTGATGCGGGCTGCGGGGCTATAAAATTGCACTATGGGTGTTCGGGCTTTCTCCAGCCCAAGCCCAAATGTCTCCAGTGCAATTTTGTAGCTCTGCGAGCCCAAGTCTGCTTACATGGGCCAGCTGCGGGTGTTTTATTGGAGTGTGGACATACCCGATTGGGGTCTGGCTACCCCAGAGTGAGATTCCTGAGCATTTGCCTCAGGCTGTGCTGTGTCCCATGCTATTATGTGTTTCCTAATGTAGCTGCTCACCTGTTAGCTCATTAGTGCTCCTAGGGTTACCATCCGTCCATATTTCCCCGGACATGTCCGGCTTTTGCGTCTCTAAATAGCCGTCCGGGAGGAATTGGTAACAAGGTTAAAATGTCTGGTTTTTTTTCTCCCTTGTCTCCCTCCCTACCTTCCATGCAGAGTGCAGCTGCTGATTGGGTGGCTGGGCCGATTGAGCCACTCCCATTGGCCTCCAGCAGCCAGAGCCCTCCCCTGCTCCCCCCTCCCTCTGTCT